TGGACTGAGTAGGCAATTGAAAAGTAAATTCTTCTTCCGATGAACGAAAGCCAAACTCTACAGTCCCTCTTTTTTCCCGTCCTGCTATATGGTGCGGAGGCAAGGACGATGACAACATCTGATGATTTGGCGTTAGGAGTTTTCGAGAGAAAGGTTTTGCGTAAGATTTGCGGTCCTATATGAGTTTGTTACGGCGAATGCCGCAGCCGGTGGAATGATCACCGAATCAAGAAACAGCGGCTACGCTGGCTAGGTCGGATGGATGAGAATACTCCAGCTTTGAAAGTTTTTCTTGCAGTACCCGCCGGTGGAAACTTAGGAAGACCTTCACTCCGTTGAAAAGACCAGGTAGACAAGGAGCTGGCTCTGCTTGGTATCTCCGATTGGCATCAAGCAACGAGAAAATGTAATGAATGGAGCAACGTTATAAATTTGGCTAAAATTGCGTAAGCGGTGTCCACGCCAGTAAAGTAGGTAATAGTTGATGAAATTGTTCCTGAACTAGAAAGCCAACTAAAAGGCAAGAAAATGACAATCGTCATAATTTGTAAGTATTTGTTGTCAATTATGTGTCCAAGAAACTAAACGATTAAGTAAATAGAAATATGGCAACCACAATGCCACTTATCGGTTATCGTTAAAAATCATGATGATTTAGGGAATCATATAATTGTCGACAGCCGCAATAGCCGGAACCGGCAAAAATTTCAAGTTTGTATATCGACAAATCGTATCGTTAAAAGTTTCTGAATTCTATTACAGCTTTTCTTGAGTCGGCAAATTTCGTATTTCATGCAGATGACGTCTTATGCTATTTACAACTACCCAATATTTCTTGCCACCTAGATCATATTTGTATTATATTGTATATGATGGCGTTTATTTTCAAACATATATATTATGAAATTCGGTGACGAAAATTATAAATTTGCTCAAAAGTGTGCAAACACACTGGCAGCTGGTCACTTCGCCGCTGTCAGTATCATCGAAAACTCGTGTACGCATATCGCTCTCCCAGTCGGATGTTATGGACGAAAGGCATGTAAAATGGGTAGTTGCAGCATTATTAGTGTAGGTTGGGCCATAGGAGGGTAACCGCAGTGCTCATTGTTATGTTTTTATTAATGAGCGGGTGACAAAATCTGATATTGGCTTGTACAACGTTAAAAATGGTAATATTTCAAAATTCAGGATTCGATTTTCAATGAAAATTAGTTTCTTCGCGTCCATTATTACGAAATATATATAAATCCCTTTCATTTCGAATAGTATTTATTGCATTGTGGGAAAGCAGTATAATAATTACATATAAATTTAACGTTAGCGTTACCGCTGAAGCCTAATAATGGTGAATGCCGACACTGGTACAAGCATGCATATAAACCGGCCTTTACAGCTTTCAAGTACAGGTACAGCATAGAAAACTAACAAAATATATTCTCACATCAATTCAAAGTTAAAGACCGGATCTTCAAACCCATTTCGCTCACATACATATTTAATGAATATTGGTTGATATAATGCATTTGGTAATTATTTGATTAGCTTTTACTAATAAAATTGAGTCATTTATTCATTACTTTATGTACAACCATAATATGTACAAGTTGAGTGTTTTTCCTCTTCTGTAATTTGAGTACTAAATCTTCTCTTATGCCAATGCATTAATGAGTCGCGTCCTAGCTTTGCTTTCTGGTCGCGGTGTTTGCGACATCTATCTGTCGTTTATTCAAGCGAAAGCATAATTTAGTATCGGTTTCTGTATTGGATCAAAAAATAACAAGTTCTAGAGATTCAGAAATCGTGTTCCACACGAAATTGAACTAGTCCCAGTTGTTATCAAATTTGTCCTAAATACAAAGACTGTGGGAACGAAATTATTTCCTGGCTGCCTCATCTCTTTTTTTGTTTTGCCATTATTTTTGTATTTGCGAGTGCAAGTTTCATTTTATATAAACTCGTATCTGAAATTTTGTGTACTTATTTAGGCCTACCGGCAGAACCATTCAAACATGCATCAGCAAATTCGTTGAAATTAAAGCCGCCTTCGACAGCACGAATAGGTACTGCCTTTACGCCGCTATGCCTGAATTTGGTATCCCCGCAAGACTTATACGGCTGTGTAAGCTGACGTTAAGCAATACTAAGAGTCAGGATCGGAAAGGACATCTCCGAGCCGTTTGATACCAAACGAGGTTTCATTGCTGGAGAAAATAACACGAACTGCAGAGCTGAATAGGGAAGGTAAAATCTTTTTTAAGAATGTACAACTACCAGCGAACGCCGTTGATATTGACATTATAGGCCTCAACAACCGCGCCGTTAGTTCTGCTTTCTCCAGTCTTGATAAAGAAGCGAAGCTAATAGATCTGGTAGCGAACGAGGGCAAGACGAAATATCACCGCTCATCAAATAAACAGTCATTACATTGGCAACTCGGCTCCCACGTCACTGTTGATAGTCATAACTTTGAAGTTGTAGATATTATAATTTCGTTTATCTAGGAACCAGCACCATTCAGTGAATCAAGCAGCAGCTGCTATGCTGGCTAGGTCATGTGGTCTGGATGGATACGAATATTCCAGCTTTGAAAGTTTTCGATGCAGTATCCGCCGGTGGAAGCAGAGGAAGAGGAAGACCTCCACTCCGTTGGAAGGATCAGGTGGAGAGTGATCTGGCCTCACTTTGTATTTCCAACTGGCGCCAGGTAGCGAAAAGAAGAGAGATGTGCTAAGATGGATTCGGCAATAATCGCGTAGGCGGTGCCAACGCCAATAAAGAAGAAAAAGAAGAATAACAAATCGTTTCAGAAGATCAAGGCCAAGTCAAATTTTTGATACTTTTTATTTGTGCATACATATATGAATAAATGGTATTCTGAAGTTCTCCGATCTCGATCTTTTGTACAAGACTAAATTTCACTCTCTTATATGTATTTTTACGGAATTTGTCTCCAATCTCTGATATGAAAAATTCGGTTCTATAGGGGCTATGTGAAATAGTTCAATTTGTATTTCTATATACATACCTACTACATACATGTGCAGAATCTACACACTGTACACAGTAGATTACCAAATATCCCTCTTCTAAATGATTTTTTACTATTTTTTACCCAAAACCTTTTATTGGAAATAATAGGTGTATTTAAGCTATATGTTATTGTCGCCCGGTTCTGAGCATACATACATACATATGTATAATAGGCTTTGTCCTGAATGATTGACGGATCTATTATTAGCCTAAGCTGCGATCAAATTTTGTTTGCGGAACGAGTTTTCGGCTGCTGAAAACGTTGACGATGCTACAGAAAGCCTTTGGGAGTTGAGTCCCTAGAAGAATGTGTAAGGTACAAAGACTTCAAAGAGGTCCGAAGTCGTGGAGACGATATAGAGCGCTCGGCACGAACATCAACGTCAACTGATGTCCAACACGTCAATGAAATTAAAGAATTAGTGCTGAAAAATCGTCGATTGACTGTTAGAGACCTTACTGATATGGTTGGAATATAAGAAGGATCTGTATAAACGATTTTGACAGACTATTTGGGCCTACGAAAAGTCAAATCTCGCTTGGTTCTAAAAATACTCAATTTCATGGAAAAACTCGTTGCGTTGATGTGTGTGAAACCATGCTTTCTGACTACCAGGACAAGCTGAAGCGCATGATTACAGGAGATGAGACGTGGATCTATGTCTACGACCCGGAAATCCCTGAATCAAGGGAATATCGTGCTAAAGATGAGGCAAGAACGAAAAAATCACGTCAAAGTCGCTCAAAAATCAAGGTCATATTGACTCATGTTTACTGTTTTCTTCGATTTATGTGGTGTGTTGCACTATAAGTCCCTTCCGACTGGTCAAACGGTAAATAAAGAATATTATTTAAGCGTTATGCGGCGTTTGCGTGAAGCGATTCCCAAAATAGGACCAGAATTATGGGCCAACAATTATGGCACACAGCACCCATTTTTCGCGACCGTTTCGCTAAAAGTTCCACGAATATCGTTCCCTAACCACCATATTCGCCGGATTTAGTACCATGTGACTTCTGGCTCTTCTAAAAACTCAAGAGACCACTACGGGGGCACCATTTTGATTGAGAAGTTAAAACGTGAATCAGCGCGCTCTCTGAAGGCCATACCAGAACGTGACAAATTGACACGCTTCGATAATTGAAAAAACCTTTGCAATGTACTTAGCATCGGCTGGGGACTATTTTGAAGACGACGAAATCGATGTAGAAGAAGAAATACAGATTTTTAGTTTTACAAACAAATTCACCTTACTTTTTGCCCACAGGTATATTTAAGTTATAGAAAATCAATTTATTGTATTTATGACATGAAATAAAAAGCTCCTCATAAAAAACTATCAGCTATTCGCAGGCGGCTTAGCATGATCTGTAGGTTGAAGGAGATCGGCCCAGTCGCTTCAGAGGTTGCAACGAGAAATTGTATAAATGTATGATATATATACAAATATTATATATAAATATATAATATATATATATATATTATATATATAAATACTGCTTTTTGGAAAAATTTATTACCCAAAATCGCAAATCTGACCAGTTCTAGGGAGATACCAGTTTGCGTATAAACAGCCGGACTGACGCCCATGAGCAAATAAACTCAACTCGCCATTCTGACCCAATCGGCGAACATTTTGATGGCTATTCTCCTTCTCGTTCTTGTATGTGCATATTTCTCTGGAACTAACACAAAATTGAGATCAAAGCTGCCAATGGAATGTATTAATTTTTCTTAAACGACATTGTAATCTAAATTAATTAAACTTGCACAAGTTTTTGTTCTCCCCGTAAGAGCAGTTCTTTTTAATTTTTTTTTAATATTTAAAAATAATTTTTATTTATTACATATCTAATAACTAATAAAATAAACGTACTTAAGTTAAAGACTTGGACTTGGGAACGCCTGTTTCTGTGATATAATAAAATTTAACAGAATAAAAAGAGCCGAGCAATGCCCAGCCTGGTCAGCTTGTTTTTTAAAATGTTTGGTAATCTGTATTTTCTGATAGCATCCAATGTAAGGGTTCACTCCAATTTATGTTTAATGATGGTTTCGTTAAGGATATGGAGGAAGCCTCTGAAGGCCAGTCATTGCTTCTACTTGCAGAAATTTCTTCCACTTTCACTGCTTTGTGATTGTCGGCAGCAAGATTTCTTTCAACATTCAAGGGCGCCGATTTATTTTCAGCAACCATAAGGGTAGCAGTAGATTGTGAAGTAGCTGGGCTGGGATTTAGGTGTCGCAATATTTCACCAAGATCCGGCGATAGACTCGTTGGTGGTAACACTGGCATACACCCCGAAGTGCTGTTGTATCTTTTAGGGTTATTTGCATTACGCACTGCTGCTGTTAAGCCCTGCTGTCGTCTTACGGAAGGATCCATAGAGTAAGACATAAGCCGTTGTACGATACCTCGGTGTACCAGTTGTTCGCTGTATATTTGTGAATCTTTTGCATTCAACTTGTCACTGCTGGTGGTCGGTCGTTTCGTGTCTTTCTTCTGTTTCATACGTCGGTTTTGAAACCAAATCTTCACTTGACGCTCACGGAGACACAAACGTTTGGCAATTTCTACACGACGTGTGCGATAGAGATATACATTTTTACGGAACTCGCATTCCAACTCTATAATCTGATCTCTGGTAAATGCTGTACGAGCTCGTTTTTGTTTATTTTCCGATGATTTTTGTGGTGGGGCAAGATTCTCAGATGAATTTAGATTTTCGCAGAATTGATTTGTAATTGAGGTGTTATGTGTTGTCGTCATTGGCTTAGATGTGTTACTGTGATAAACGTGCTGAAATAGAATTGCGGTTTATTAAATTATATTAAATATTATTTTCAATATATTTAATTATTGGTTTTCATAATTTTTTCTAAATGAGTGTAAAATTATAATTTTTTTTTTTAAATTAATGTGCAATCATTTCCACGTACTTCATCGTATATCGGAATTATACTTGGTTTTACGGGTGTTACATTCGTAACATATGTCGAGAACCGTTGCAGTGTTGAAGCCATCTCGCCCTGTTGTTGGTCAAGGACGTTATTCGCTCAGTAACTAAATAATGTTTGAAACCATTTTTGCCGACTAGTTTGCTTTTATACCGAAATTTTTGGCACTTGTCGTCAATCTAATTAAGCATACAATGGAGTTCGCAAAAGAATATCTCAGAAATGTCGGCAAGGCTACTAGTGTCTCTAATCGCGCTTGGCACCGGTCAGGCGAGCCGCGCGTTTCGGAAACAAAAAAAAAAAAAAAAAAACGTCTGGCGACATGATCGAACCAACAAACAAATCTGTTTCGTCGCGGCCCAAGCTTGAATGAGCTGTAAAGTCTCCACCTGTCTGCGTGAAACCATACCTATAATGCAACCACAAAGAAGGACTGGACGCGTCTATGCAGAGAAACGCTACTGGTTTTGTTGTTTGGTGCCAGTATAAGAATGATGTTCAATATTTGAAAACGACAGTCTAGTTGCGTAGGCGGGACAAGGCAAATGTGGCGACTAACACTTCTGGTCTGCTAACTACTTGTGGGTATGTATGTATATAGCAGTGAACCTTGAATAAATCCCTTTTGGTTGTCACCAGAGAAAACAGATCGCTTAATACGCACTTTAGTATGTCAGGTATGTAGTTAGAGGTTAAGGTGTATGTGCAATGTGCAGTCATACAAACATACACTTATACATGTATATGCATATACGTACTTGTTTACATAGAGCCACGCTTTAAAACAATGCGCATTTTTGCTTGTTTTATTCCAGTGTAAAATTGTTTACACCTGTTGTAGCGTAACCTTGAAGCACTTGTTGCCTCTTAAAGGTAAAGTAAAACAACAACAGGAGTTACAATGCGTTTAGAACAAGGTACAAATGTTCCAATATTCATACACCTGTAGTCAAAATAATAGGACCACTAGTATATCAGATTTTAAACAAGTAACAAAATCCAAAAAAAGGTTTTGCAATTTTATTCAAAATGTCGAAAAATGTATAAACATAACGATAAAAAGCAAACGTATTATTATTCCATTTAAATTGAAATTAGTACCAAAAATTAAATTTTTCCGAGAATCTGAAAAAATAATCTGTCGAAATAATACCACTGGTCATCTTGACCTGAATTTTCAAAATTGTATTATTATCGTTATAATATGAGTGATGCTGCAACTACCCATCTTACATACCTTCCATACATAGCAATCTATCATATAATAGCGCCATGTAAACACAAAGTTGCCACTGCTTGCCCATGCCGTTACTGACGGTTATTCCGCAGAAACCAACGGCGATTTGATTTTTTCCGTAAAACCGGCTCAGCTCATTTCTCGTTGCCAGTATAGCCTTTTTTAAAGTAATATTAAATAATCGAAATGCGTAGTTTTTTTTTAAAAGAAATGAAAACTAAATTCGTAACTAACAAATAATGTTAACATATAGATCATGTATAATTGATTTGCGTTTGTATTCAAACATATAAATTATGAAATTCATTGACGAAAATTTGGAATTTGTTCAAAAGTGTGCAATCACTCGTGATAACTCGTGTATGCATATCGCTCTAACAGTCGGCTGTTATGGACGGAAGGTATGTTAAATGAGTAGTTGCAGCACGAATTGATACTTGGATCGAATCATTGTAGAAACCTTCAGGTAACAAAACTCATATTTTTCACATATGCAAGCTAACTTTTTCACGCATACATATTGTTACGAATTCGCTGAATCAACCTCGATGATTTTCTGAATCCTTCGGGTACGATCTCTGGATTGTTCAATAAAATATCGCCAACTTAATTTGCAGTTTCTTTCGTTATAAAGAATTTATCTAATGTCCTTTATTTACTCCGTAATTCACAAATTAATTACAATGCACTTTACTAGCTACAATCACTTGCATAAACTTTCACAATTTGCTTTACCTAAATGTAATTTCCAACGCGTTTGCTTTACGACTCTATACTGATGTTATCGCCAACGATGTTATCGATTCACTTTGTAACTGACTTAACTTGGCAGCTGAGTGTCGCTTTTATATAGCAGTCGGATGCTTGTAGACGAAAGTGTAGAATATTCGAGTTGTTCGCTATCGAAGGTACTCGTTTTATCGTTCTAGAATGTACTAGTTATCGGCTTCTCTCTTTCATCTGACATTCGCCTCGCATTTTCGCAACANCGAATGTGTCTGATCGGGACGATCAGACTTAGGTGGAGGGCAGTGTTGCGAAAATGCGAGGCGAATGCCAGATGAAAGAGAGAAGCCGATAACTAGTACATTCTAGAATGATAAAACCAGAAACTTCGATAGCGGACAACTCGATTATTCTACACTTTCGTCTACGAGCAGCCGATTGCTATATAAGGGCGACACTCAGCTGCCAAGTCAAGTTAGTTACAAAGTGAACTCGTTCGCGACAACATAGAGTATAGCGGAATAAACTATTTGAGTCGTAAAGTAAATGCGTTGGAAATTACATTTAGGTAAAGTAGATTGTGAAAGTTTATACAAGTGATTGTAGCTAGTAAAGTCCATTGTAATTAATTTGTGAATTACGGAGTAAATAAAGGACATTAGATAAATTCTTTATAACGAAAGAAACTGCAAATTAAGTTGCCGAGTTTTTATTTAACATCCCAGAGATCGTACCAGAAGGACAAAGATCTTCCTCTATAAAACATGTAAAAATGTTTTTTATTGAGTCGAAAGTTGAAATAAAACTGTAAAAAACATATGCCATCAATGATTATTTCTACTCAATTTTAACACAACTTACCGCACATTTAATCGTTCAAGCTCAAAATGTTTCAGTTATTCTTTGAATATCTTCGCTGAATTTTAATTTTGTTTTCGTCGTCAAACCGCAACGTCTCGGAGTCGATTTTTAAATAATTTCCGTAAGGTTTTGAAACATTAACCGACAATTGTTTAAAATATTAAATTGTTGAAATATTTTGCGTAAATCCTTGCATAACTTTGGGCGCTGGCCAATTTGGCATGTGTGTGCAGGCATTTCTTGTGTCTAGGCTAAATATTTATATTTTGCCGAAGCGTTTTTGTAAATTTTTCCTTGCAAAGTTCTCTTCTTGCTCGGGTGGTTCCTCATTCTCAAATACTTCCGTACGGAGATGATAGTTCTGTTCGTTGATCAGTTGGGTAGTAACCATTTTTTACCAAACTTCACTGAAAAGTGTTCGTTGAATTTGTAACGAGAGAGAGCTACTTTGACGTTTATTTTGGAGAGCAAGTAGCAGATTCGTGGTAAGAAAATTTCAGCCAGTAAAAACTAGCAAGTATGATTTGTGATAAAACGATTGCTTTTTTGTCAACAAACCAAAAATTATTTAAAATGAAAATAAAATTAGTTCTTTGACCTGAATAATAGACCACCACAATTAGTGCCCAAATGAAATTTTCTTAAAATAAATTTAAAGACGTTAAATTCAATTATATAGTTGAGATAGTCGTTAAATTATCGGCAGGATACCAGCGAGCCTACTTTGAGAAATTAGAAGCTAGAGAACTAGAATATATTCGGTGGTGTTATAGAAACCGACACAGACTTGCTTATTCATCGGAATTGAAAATCAATATCTTTTTGAAATGGCGTTATAAAACCGACTTGATTTTGCTTTTTTTCGAAGATAAACAAAACCGATATTCGAATCAGCTGTCATCACATTTGTGCTAAAAAAAAAATAGCAATTCAATACAATCTGTGAATATTAAAAATAAAATGATTTCGGCAGTGATAGCATTTTTGATAATCAGGGCTGTCATGGAATCCAATTGCTGTCGGAATTGGAAATGAAACCGACAAAAACATTGCTTTGGTGTCATGAAATCCGATGTTATCGGTTTTATGTTCGAATCGGAATTAGTGTCGGTTTTAAGTGTCACAGAAACCTAAATTATCGGTTTTGTTATTGGAAACAATCCAAGCAACTTACCGCCATTGGATTTGATTTGTGTAAACGTTTTTTTCCGGTTGCAGTTACAAATTCATTTGAAATGTGAGTAAATGGTGGTTTTTAATAATAATAAATATTAGTTATCTTATATTCTTATTCGTAATAGGAGAAAATATAAAAATGTGACACAAAATACAATTCTAATTGAATTTATAGAAAAACGCTCTCCTCAATAGCATTTGATGGCCTTGGTAGATCGTCTAGGTTATATTCTACGTTACGTTACGCAGACATTCACAATTTTCACCACTTTTCTGGCCGATAATGCAACATACTTAATAAGCAGCGAAAACGCCCTTTTAGCACTCCTATTGTTCGTTTCACAATATTTTGACCTGATGAATGGGCCAAATTAAATTTATATTCCTTGGAGTTTGTAAAGTGGATCTCTATATGTCGTTAATAAAAAAGATTCTATGCCATACTCGCAATCTCCCAATAACCTAGATGTCCGGTCCCCTGACTCATACATCCTAAGAAAAAATATTTTCTGGCGCTACTAATGTTCCATACGAATGAGTCATAGCTAGAGCCGGGATACCGAGTCAACCATTCGAGTTTTCATGTCACCATCACAAAGCTAAATGTAGGTAAACATAAATAAATCAATACTTGTATATACGTCCGTTTTCACGACTACTTACAATCATGGCATTCATACTGAAATATCCTTTTCGATTATAAAATAGATGTTCATCAAGACTCGGCTTGATGATTGTTATGTGTGTCCCGTCGATACAACCAATTATTGAGGAAATTTTAAACTTTGAATAAAAATAGTCCCTCTATCTGCATTTTTCGTTGAAGTCCATTTCAAGTTTCACCCAATGTTGACGAATTAACTTATCTATAACTTTAAGCACATCGTCCAAAATCATTGACACCGTGCTTCTATCTACACTTATGCTAGAATCATTCCCAACTGATCTTTGATAAGATCCTTCACCCAAAAATCGCTATGAAGCTGAAGTACTGGTGGAACCTTTGACCGTCTCAAGTGCCCGTCAATGGTATCGAATACCATTCGGAAAGCCTCTTTATTTAGTCGATAATATGTTATGAAACTGCAAATACACTATAACTATTAAAAAGCCCTAAAATT